TTCAAGGCCAGCCTGGTCTACATAGTGAGTTCCAGGACAGCTGGGGCTAGAGGGAGACCCTGTCTCAAAAAGACCAATAAAAAAAAATTAAATTTATAATGGTAAGAGCAAGGCTAGAAACTGAAAAAGAAAAAGATATTGCCAGGCAAGGTGGCACATGCACTTGGGAGGCAGAGGCAGACAGATCTCTGAGTTCAAGGCCAGCCTGGTCTACATAGTGAATTCCAGGCAAGCTGAGGCTACAGGCAGACCCTGTCTCAAAAAGACTGGAGGAAAAAAAAATCTTTGTATGTGGGCATGCATGTGTGAATGTAGGTGCAAGTGTTCTACAGCCTGTGCATGGTCAGTGAACAACCTCGAATGTCAATTCTTACCTTCCACCTTGAGACATGGTCTGTTGTTCACAACTGCCTATGCCAGTCTAGGTGCCCAACAAGTTTCTGGGGATTTTCCTGTCTCTGCCTCTCATCTTATAATAGGAGCATTGAAATCACTTGTCATGTAGCCCAGGTTGGCCTTGAACTCACTATGGAGCCAAGAATGATGAACTCCTGATTCTCCTGCCTGTGCCTCTACAGTGTTGTGACTGCAGGTGTGGGCTACCTTGCCTAGCTCTGGTGTTTTTAGTTGGACTATCACCTTGAGGACAGGGTGACCATTCTGGCATAGAGTGCACAAAGAGCAAGACAACCAAGACAAGTCACTGGCTTTAAGCAAAAGGTGACAGCACTGAGTGTGATGGTGCACACCAGCCATGCAAGCAATCAAGAGGCTGAAGCAGGAGGATCATGCCTATGCTTAGTGAGATTTTGTCTCAAAAAACAAAACAAGGCCAAGTATGACGGCACACACCTTTGATCCCAGCACTCTGGAGGCAAAGAAGGCCAGCGTATTCTACACAGTAAGTTCCAGGCAAACTGGGGCTACAGGGAGACCCTGTCTCAAAAAACAGAGGCTGGAGAGATGGCCCAGCAATGATGAGCACAGCCTGCTCTTACAGAGGATCGGGTTCAGTTCCCAGCACCTACATGGCAGCTAACAACTGTACAGAACTCCAGTTCCAAAGGATCACCCTCTTCTAATCTCCATGGGCACTGCATGACATGAGTGAACTTACAGACATGAAGGCAATATACACATACACATTAAGATAAATAAATATTAAAAATAAAACGAGCAAGCAAACCAACAAAAAAAGATGGTGTCTTTAAACTACAGTGATAGCAATGGAGATGGAAAAGGTATCCCAAAGGTTCTGGGTAAGACTAGGCTAAATTCTCTCTTTCTTGGTCTTTTTGAGACAGGGTCTCCCTGTAGCCCCAGTTGGCCTGGAACTCACTATGTAGACTAGGCTGGCCTTGAACTCACAGAGATCCGCCTGCCTCTGCCTCCTGAGTGCTGGGATTAAAGGCGTGCACCACCACACCCAGCTGCTAAATTCTCTTTTTATCTGGCCATATAGACCACATAAGCTTCAACTTTTAGAGAACCTGCTGCCTCTAAATCCCAAGTGCTAGACTCATATACATGCACCATGCCATGCTTACATCCTAAATTTGCATATGTGTTGTGCAGATATATGTGTGTACATGCAGGTACATGTGGAGGCCACAGGTTAACATCAGGTTTCTTCCTCATTTTTTTTTTTTTTTTTGAGACAGGGTCTCACTAAACTTGCTATGAGGACCAGGTTGGCTCTGAACTCCGAGATCCCCATGCCTCTGCCTCTCTGTGTTGGAACTAAAGGCCTGTGGCACTACTCCTGGCTCTCCACCTTCTCCTCCTCCTCATTAGTATTGTTTTGGTTTTTTTAATTGTTTTCATTTTACGTGTATGAGTATATTGCCTGCATGTATGTGTGTATTGCCTGCATGTATGTGAGTACACCCATGTTGTGCAGTGCTGTGGAGGTCAGAAGAGGGCTTCGGATTCCCCTGGAGCTGGAGTTAAGGACAGTTCATAGCCGCCATGTAGGTGCTGGGAATCGAACCCAGGTCCTCTGCAAGAGCAGTCAGTGCTCTTAACCTCTGAGCCATCTCTCCAGCCCCCATTATTGGTTTTTAAAGACAGGATCTCCCTATAGCCCCAGCTGGGGTTGAACTTGCTGTATAGAGCAGGCTGGCCTTGATCTCCCAGAGATCTGTCTCTGCCTCCAGAATGCTAGAATTATGCATGCACCACCACCCCTGGCTCTCCACTTTATTTTGGAGACAGGGTATCTCACTGAACCTTGACCTCCCCATTTCAGCTAGACTGGCTGCCTACTCCAGGGATCCACCTGTCCTCACCCTACAATGCTGGAGTTACAAAACCATACCACCACACTTGGGTTTTATGTGAGTGCTGGGGATTGGAACTCCAGTCCTCATGCTTGGACAGCAAACACTTTACCTACTGAGCCATCTCCCCAGCCTTTATTATTTGTTTGTTTTTGTTCTTTTTGAGACAGGGTCTCCCTGTAGCCTCAGCTGGCCTAGAACTCACTATGTAGGCCAGGCTGGCCTTGAATTCACAGAGATCTATCTGCCTCTGCTTCCCAAGGGCTGGGATAAAAAGTGTATGCCACCACACCCGGTTCTCCCCAGCTTTTAAATTCTCAATTTTGAAAGCTTATTTTCCAGCCTCTACCAGAATTGGCTCCCCTAACTACTGCCATTGCATTCCTCACAAAGCCCAGGCCTCCCTAGCTCCTTTTCACTTGCTGTCAAACCTCTGTGGGGAAGCCTCTGCCCTCCAGACCTTCCCACAGCCTCCATCTGCTCATTTCAAATGTCTTGTGCTCAAAAAGAGCACTGGGGCTGGAGAGATTGGATCTGCAGTTGGAAGCATTTGCTGCTCTCGGAGAGGATCCAAGTTCATTTTCCAGCACCCAAGTCGGATGGTTCACAGCTGCCTGTAACTGCAGCTCCAGGGGATCCCATGCCCTCTTTTGGACTCCATGAGCCCCTCTCACGTGCACACACACATACTCATTAATAAAAATGGTTTTCTAAGTTAAAATAAAAGTCTTCCTTGGCCGCTCAATATATTAGCAGCTGCAACCCACACCTCACGTCATCAGAACTAATTCTTTGCAAACATCTGCTCCCTGGTGTACTGAAACCAGAGGGTCTAGTACACAACAAGCGTGGAAGCATCTGCTGAACCGACAAATGCATCTCCACCTGGGGGCGTAGGAACAGCTAAAACAGTTCAAAGAGGGTTTCAGGAGCCGTGGCAAAGTGTGTCACTGCAACCCCAGGGCAGTCCCGAAACGCGGCTTTTTCCGGGAATCGGGACCCAAGCCAGAGGGCATTGGCCACCTGAAGGGGACCTGGAGGGGTAGCGGGTTAGCAGGGCAGCCAGGGACCGCCGCTGTGGGTTGCAGCGGCCTTAGGGGTAGTTCATTTGGAAAGCCGGGAAAGGGCCCACCCGGCTCCGCCGACTGTGTGAAGACCTCGGCGTCCTCCTCAGCCCCTGGCGGGGGGCGGCCAACAACCCAGGTCTGAGGTCTTGGGAGACGAGGGCGGCGCACAAGTCACGACAGTGGCCTGCCGAGAGGCTAAGGCGAGGAGTCCGCGTGTCGCAATCGCGACAGATCTAAGTGCTAAGCGGCGACGTGCAGCCGCGAGAGCCCAGGCGGGAGCCTGAGAGGAGGCGGGGGCTGTTACCTGCAACATCCCGGTTGTCCATCTTGAGACTCATCCAATCCCACAATGCTCCGGTGCTACCTAGGGAGAAGGAGGGGCTCAGTTATAGTGCGCTCGGCTAGATGGGAAATGTATTCCTCCCCTACCAGCCACGCCCGGTCCCTTCGTGGACACCGAGGGTCTTCGCCACAGAATGAACTCCTCAGTTAACGAAGATATGTCACACTCATTCGTGAGGACTCAGAGGCATCGCTCTCCATTCAGACTCTTTCTCAGTTGTAATCACCACAAATACAAACTACAAATCCCGGGAGGCTTTGCGCAGCCGTTCTCGCGAGAGCCGCGAACAGTGTGGGCCCCGCCCCACACGCCACTTCCGCCTCTCTGTGGAGGCGTCTTGTTGTTGTGCAGGCCAAGATGGCGGCGCAGGCGGCGGCAGCGGCGCAGGCTGCCGCGGCTCAGGCGGCACAGGCCGAGGCGGCCGAGTCGTGGTACCTGGCGCTCCTGGGTTTCGCCGAGCACTTCCGCACGTCCAGTCCGCCCAAGATCCGCCTGTGCGTACACTGCCTGCAGGCCGTGTTCCCCTTCAAGCCTCCTCAGCGCATCGAGGCCCGCACGCACCTGCAGCTCGGCTCAGTTCTTTACCACCACACGAAGAACAGCGAGCAAGCGCGCAGTCATCTGGAGAAGGCGGTGAGCCTGCGGGGCGGGAGGGCTGGCCGCGGGGACCGGGGGGCGCGACTCTGCCTGGGCCGGGCTCAGTGCGCCGGAAGGCCTCGCCCTCACCTCTGCTGACAGACCCAGCACCGCCACGCCCTCCCACCCCGGAACTGGGAAAGTTGTCCCTTAGCTGCAGTAGAGTCCCCACTTAGAGGATCCCACGTTCGGGTGGCCGTGGGGACACCGCCCGTTGACCTCGGTTTTCAGTCCGGGACCATCAGCCTGGACACACCTACCTAAAGTTACTGCAGCTCAAAGGAAGAGGTCCAGGCAAACAATTCCAGGCCAGCCCTGCGACGGTGAAGTGCGATTCCAGGAGGCCTGGGAGATGCCCTTCCCGGTCCCTGGACCCGAATTCTGACACTCAAGAGTGTCGAGGTCTTGTGTCTCTATCTGTAGTTGCAAAGTCACCTAGAAAGGTGAAACCCATGGCCTGGGTCCGTAACGAATGGACAGTGCTGGTGACAGTTTCAGGCCCCACCCCCCTTGTGACTCTGAAGTATGGTCTCGGGAAATCTAAGAGATGCCTTTACCTGTCCCTGGATTTGGAATTCTGACACTCAGTATCTGCAAGGTCGTGTGTCCCCATAGTGGCACAATCACTTGGGAAGGTGAGACCTGGCGTTGGACACTGATGTCCTGTGAGGAAGTGAAATGAGGACTGTGAATCCCAGGGCCATTGCTCCATGGGGGACTGGAGGTGGATCTCAACCAGTGGTGGCCTTTCCTTCCACCATATACTTACTACTCCATCCTCTTTGAAGTAGTCCCACTCCACCTCCAACTTGACTTATGGTATCTTGGTGCTTCTCAGAATGCGGGAGTGTGGCTGTCATGTTGCCCTTAAGTAAACTTTGTAGTTGTGGGCTTGTTTCGCAGCTCTGTGTCTTCACATTCCCACCTTCCTTTTGTCATTTACCCGTCTCTGTTTTGATTAAAGAAGCTTCTGGTGGGGGGGGGGAGCTGGAGATGTGGTTCATCGGTTAATAGCACAGGCTGCTCTTGCAGAGGACTTGGGTTCAGTATCTGGCAAACACGTGGCACCTAACAACCATCCAGTTCTAGAGGACCTGTAGCTCTCTTGTGGTCTCAAGCATTTCATGAACATGATGCATTCACATACATGCAGGCAAAATATGTATACTCATAAAATAAAAATAAAAAGTCAAATCAAGAAAATTGCCTTCAGGAGGGAATAAAAATCTTTGTTTCTGAGGCTGGAGAGATGGCTTAGTGCTTAAGAACAGTGACTGTTCTTGCAGAAGACCCTGGTTCGAATCCCAGCAACCACTTGGCAGCTAACAACTGTCCATAACTCCAGTTCCAGGGGATCTGACGGCCTCTTCTGTCCTCCGAGGGCATTGCATGACATGGGTGCACTTACCTACATGCAGGGATAACACTCGTACACATAAAAGAAAAATAATAAGTAAAATATATATATATTTTTTTTTGTCTTTTTGAGACAGGGTCTCCCTGTAGCCCCAGCTGGCCTGGAACTCAGTATGTAGACCAGGCTGGCCTTGAACTCACAGAGATCTGCCTGCTTCTGCCTCCTGAGTGCTGGGATTAAAGGCATGCCCGGCTTTTGTTTCTTTTTTAATTTTTTAAAAAATATTTTATTGCCGGGCATGGTGGTGCACGCCTTTAATCCCAGCACTCAGAGGCAGGCGGATCTCTGTGAGTTCAAGGCCAGCCTGGTCTACATAGTGAGTTCCAGGACAGCTGGGGCTACAGGGAGACCCTGTCTCAAAAAAGGCCAAAAAAAAGGAGAAAGCAATCAAAAGAAAGAAACCTGAACTTACCAGAGCTTAATGATCACCAGGTTCCACACTAAGACATGACATCGTTGTTTTGGTGAGTTGCTTTTGTTTTTGTTTTCTTTCATTTATCAAAGAGATAGTTGTTCAGTTCCCACCCTATTTGGGCTCTGAGTATTAGCTGTGACTAAAACAGTCCTTATCCACAGAAACTGCTTAGTGAGAGTGACAATAAGACAGTGATGTGAAAACTATGAAAAGTGTGGACCAAGGAGAAGGGATGGAGTTAATGTGTGGCAAGAGTGACATTTGAGGGGACATGAATGGATGGGCTAGTGAGCCCCAATCAGGGTTCCAGGTCACTGGAAAGGGGGTGTCAGGACCAGCAGTGAATTGGAGGGTCTCTCCAGGGTAGTGATGAGTGAAGTCGATCAGGCCAAGTGCCAGGCTTCACTGGGGTTGCAAGCTAGAGGATGACTGGTTCTCAAACTCTTTCTCTTCATTCAGGGCAGCTGATATCACCACCATCCTTTCTCCCTTGCCCCTGAGGTGTCTCACATGTACTCCTTTTTCACCCACTCAGCCCTCTTGTGTGGGCATACAGTGGTACTTTAAGACCTGCAATTGAAACTTTTACCCTTGTGAAGTGCTGTCTCGGTGTAACAAAAGCCTGATTCCAGAGAGCTCTTCCATGGGACCATGTGATCCCTCCATAGGTCACCCCAGCTTCATACCTGGAAAACTCTGCTGATCTCAACTGCTTCTCAATTCAAGTTTTTCTGTCACTTAAAGGGGCACATGCATCGTTATTTTTTTTATTTTTTTAAATATTTTATTTATATTTTATGTGTATGTATTGCCTGCATGTATGTGATTGCACCCCTGTCATGCAAAGCCGTGGAGGTCAAAAGAGGGCTTCGGATTCCCCTGGAACTGGAGTTAAGGATGGTTCGTAGCCGCCATGTGGGTGCCGGGAATCGAACCCCGGTCCTCTCCAAGAGCAGTCAGTGCTCTTAACCGCTGAGCCATCTCTCCAGCCCATGCATTGTTATTTTTGAGGGAGAGCGTTTTGGGGAGTGAATCTAGGGCCCTGTGCACACTAAGCCCACCCTGCCACCAAGCTGCATCCCTAGCCCCTTCGTTTGTTCTTAATTGTGCTTTTCCCCAGAGCATAGCCATGAGCATTTATTCTTTCCTCTCCCAGAGCCACTTAATAATGACCCAGAGCCCAGTGTAAAACACACCTATAGGCCTCAAGGAGGATGGGAATTCCAGATCAGCCGGAGCCACACAGCAAAACTCCTCTCTCTTCAAAAGAAAACAAAACAAACTAAAAACATACATATTTTTTAAAGTGCGGAGATGAGAGGTGTGTGCCACCATGCCTAGCTAATTCTTCATTTTAAAAAATATTTTTATGGGGGCTAGAGAGATGGCTCAGCAGTTAAGAACACTGGTTGCTCTAGCAGAAGACCCAAGTTCAAATCCCAGCACCCACATGGCAGCTAACAACTGTCGGTAACTCCAGTCCCAGGGGATCCGACAGCCTCTTCTGACCTCCACAGGCATTACACGACATGGGTGCACTTACCTACATTCAGGCAATACATGAATACACATAAAATAAAAATAAGAAAATTAGGGCCAGGCATGGTGGCGCACGCCTTTAGTCCCAGCACTTGGGAGGCAGAGGCAGGATCTCTGTGAGTTCAAGGCCAGCCTGGTCTACATAGCAAGTTCCAGGACAGCTGGGGCTACAGGGACCCTGTCTCAAAAAAAAGACCAAAAAAAAAAAAATTTTTTTTTAAATAATAATAAAAATTTTTAAACAATTTTTATTTGCTGGGCGTGGCGGGGCACGCCCTTAATCCTAGCAGAGGCAAGCAGATCTGTGCGTTCAGGGCCAGCTGGGGCTACAGGGAGACCCTGTCTCAATAAGACAAAAATACATATATTATTTTTATTTTATGTGTACAAGTGTATCGCCTGCATGTGTGTAAGTGCACCTGTGTTGTACAGTGCTCATGGAGGTCAGAAGAGGGTGTTGGATTCCACTGGAATTGGAGCTGTGGATGTTTGTTAGCTGCCATGTGAGTGCTGGGAATCAAACCCAGATTCAGGCACCTATGCAAGAGCAGCCAGTGCTTTCAATGGCTGAGCCAGTTTTCCAGCCCTAATTCTTAGTTTTTTGGTTTTGGGGGGTTTTGTGTTTTTATTTTTTGTCTTTTTGAGACAGAGTCTTCCTGGAGCTCACTATGTAGACTAGGCTGGCCTCAAATTTATAGAGATCTTCCTGCCTCTGCCTCCCAGCTGCTGGGATTTTTAAATTGTGTGCTTCTAGCTCCTTCCTGCCCTGGATGGCCCTGGATGTGAGTCCTTCTTCTGTCAACGTGTCCGCGCCTGTTAGTGATGTACTAGTAGTCCCAGTACACGGTGCCTCAGGTCTCAGACACAGCACCATAGTGCTGTATTCAGCAGCTCTTCATAGGTGCCTGACACCTGTTCACAGTTTCGCTCACTTGCCTCACCATATCTCAGCACAGCACGTGCTATAGCACAAGCATGGTGAGTTCAGAGTGATAAGGTATTTTGAGAAAGAGACCATGCTCCCATAATAATGTTTTGTTAAAATTCTTTGATTAGAGCTAGACTTGGTGGCACAAAAAGATCCCCCCCAAAAAAAATTCTTTGATTAGATGTCAGGTATCTGGAAAAGCCTGAGGCATATGGGAGTAGATCCCTTGGATAAAGCTGTAAGGTTTTTTTGGGGGGAGGGGTCTTTTTGAGACAGGGTCTCCATATAGCCCCAGCTGTCCTGGAACTCACTATGTATACCAAGGGACCACTCTCAATCTTTGCCGTCCTGGATGCTACCTATTCATGAATTATTCCTTGTTCAAATAAACTTTGCTAAGTTTAACCAACTTTGGAGATTTTTTTTTTTGGTCTTTTTGAGACAGGGTCTTCCTGTAGTCCCAGCTGTCCTGGTACTCACTATGTAGACCAGGCTGGCCTTGAACTCACAGATCTGCCTGCCTCTGCCTCCCTGAGTGCTGGGATTAAAGGCGTGTGCCACCATGCCCAGCAGGTTTAATTTTTTTTTTTTAATTGTGTATACATGCATGCATGCGCTCCCTCTAATTTGTATGTGAGACTGTGTGCATGTGGAAGTTAGAGGACAAACCTCAGGTATCAGTCCTCGCCTTCCACTGC